CAGATTATTACCTCGCATGATTCTTCTACTAACACTTGGGAGTGCTCACCAGTGGCAGTCGGCAGCTTTGCTCCAGGTACTGGCCTTATATACCAAGTGGCTAAATCAGGTGAAAAATTAAAAAAGTTATTTTTTCGTAGCTTACTAAATATATAAATCCTCATCATCGCAAGCCAGTGTAAGTCATCGCAATTTCGCCTTATATATTTACATACATATTTGAGGTTACTTACTTATCCCCGATAAGAACTTCTCACTAAATTTAAACTTTTGTGATAAAAAAAACAAAAATTTATTAAACAATAACAAGCAAAGACCCCCAGGATAGATTAGTAAGAATTTATGATATGTAAATAATTAAAAACGCAGAGGCATTTTCTTAACAACAAATCAATGCCACTTGTTAACCACTTACCATGCCATTTAAGAATACAGTTATGAGCAGAAAAGGGTTTCCTTCATAAAATTTTGGCTCGGCACGTGTGTAGGTAGAACACATATTCGAAAACACGCACGAACACGTAGTACGGCCCTGCACGACGTAACGCGATTAGAACGGATTACCTGGAATCGCACCAAAAGTATTAGCTTTAACGAAAGAATGAAGTATAGCTATTATTTCTTTTACACAAGAAAAGTTTCATTATAAATTTCTTGTTCTGAAGATTAGAAGCCCATACATACACACAGCGACAACAAAATATGTGGCAGCACCTTCAATCATGCCAAAAGAAATCGACCGTCGTGCAAGAAACATTGATTTTTATTAATTTGATTCGAATCCTTACAATAAAATTATGTATGTATATAAAGTCCATAAAATATACCAATAAAAATTTGGTGCTTTTTCAAATTCAAAACTTGGCAATACTGCCTTTTGTTCGATGCTTCCTCTTTTTCTTGTCGAGTTCGTCTTGCTCTCTCATTCTGGTATTTTTTGACGTCACGGCCAGTTGCTCTCAGCTCGATTGGCGCAATCTTGTATTCTATCATTCTTGATAACAATGGCTTTCTAGTTAGAGAATATAATCGCGAAGAAAAAAAAACATTCACCAATCGAAGATATATCCTACAAATTGATTTATGCAAAAAAAAAAACAAAAAACATTGAGCTAACATTTTTTGAGTTATGCCTCTGTGGGATACATATATAAAAACACTTCACACGGGTATTGATAAACACTACCTGAAACCTTCGGAAAACCCCCCTCATAATACATAAGTGAGCATATTTAATTCATTTTTAATCAGATATGGTAAAAACTAGTGGACATTTCACAAAACAACAAACATGTGTATGGGATTTTTGAAGGTTAAATTTTAGTTTAAAAGTAATTACCATCCACAAAAATATTGCATTTATATATGTAGGTATAAAGATTTATCAAAATTCCATAATAAGTTACATCTCTAATTGGTTAATAGTAAACACATTTCATACAAAATCACTGTTTGAATTAAATGTTTAAATTATTAATTATTAAATGATTAAATAGTTAAATAATTAAACTAAATAGATCAATGCCAGATCCCAAAAACCGTAGTAAATACAATATGTCGCCGTCCCTGGTCGGCATGCAATGGAGAACCTACCAGCGCATTTCTGCAATAAAAGATCTTTTCATAAAAAGCCAACAACTGTGCCTGCACGCTAATAACTTGTATCTGCACAGTGCTGTAAATACATATACATATGTACATATGTATGTATAGACGTATGTATATGTCAAGCATCGTAAAACTTGAATGCCATTTATTGCGATGAATGACAAGCAATATTAAAAATTTTCATTAACTACATACATATGTATGTATGTATATATGTATGCACACATACATACGGTGGCGAAAATGTAAATAGGGAGAAGACATTTTTAGCAAGTTTTGGCTATGTTTATTATTATTATTATTTTTTTTTTTGAAAATATAGCTTACTGTCTAAAACAAATCACGTAAATCGCGATATTTCAAACTTTATAGAACATTTATAAAAATTCCAAGAATTTTAACAAATACTCACCAAAATTTTAAACTTCTTTATCCGATTTTTTAGAATTCTTTTAAGTATGCGCTTTTTGTAGCCCATTAAATTTTAATATAGTAAAGTGCAAGTTTGAAGTAGCTAGCACTTACTTACCATTGATGGTTGGGAATTTTTTGTTCACGCATTTTCTGCCATACAAAGTATGTTCGAAAATTTTTTTTCTATGAAGAAAATGAGCAACACCTTCCAAAAAAAAATTCCAAAATCAACAGTAAGTACTATCTACTTTAAACTTACACTTTATTGCATTAAAATTGAATACGTCACAAAAAAAAAAACTCACCATTTTGATGAAACTTGGTCGAATTTTCTTAATTTTTATACAAAGTTTGACTTACATGGTTTTTGTTATATAACATTAAGTAAACGAAAGGAAATAGCCAAATATAATTATATTTATATTTTCGCCACTGTACATATGTATGTATGTATAACATAATATGCGTCAGAAATTTGGAAATTTATTTTAAGAACAATTAAATCAAGGAAATATTTTAACTATTTTAACATTTATTTCTGATATTGTTCTGGCGCTTTATGTAGCGAAAAGTATACTAACAGGCGTTTGCATAAGTCTTCGATGTTTTTGCAAAGCCGCCCATCGCCCAATTGCAAAACCGCCTATCTTCCGGCACTCAAATTTTACAGGAGAGCGAAAAAACGGTTTATCCTTTAAAGGCAATGTATGATAGGCGGTATTTTCTATAGCTATCGTTTTACAAATCTGTTGTTTTAATGACGATTTAACGATTTTTATGCATAAATCTCGATGCCTGGAGTTCAGGGTTACCGAATCGAATTTTTTCCATAACTGCGATTTAGGCGATTTCGCAACTGGTCGATGGGCGGTTTTGCAAAAACATCAACGATATGTACATATGTATGTATGCATATTAGGGCCGAGTAATTTAATTTCGAAAAAAGTGTTTTCCATATTGGAATTCTAGGTTCGATTCTAAGTAAAAATGGCGAACGAACTATATAAAAAATGACGTTTGACCCTCCAAATTTTTAAAAGAAAAATCAGTGTATTATAATTTTTTCCTGAACGAAATTAATTTTTCATTTACAAAATTTCGTGTTTTCTTCATATTTAAGAAACTCTTTCCCAAAATCGAAAAAATAGAAAATTATGTACAAAATTTTTTGTTACAACTAAAAATAAATTTCGACCAAAAAAGTTACAATATGCATGTATACTGCTTTTTCGTTTGAAAATTGGGGGGGTCAAACGTAATTTTTGGTATATAGATTGTTCGCCACTTTTGCATAGAATGAATCGTAGAACTTTAATTTACACTCTCTTCCAAAATTTCGCTCCGAACAAATTACTCCGCCCTAATGTTTATAGTTCAGCGAAGAGTTACATTCAGGGACGGGAACCGGATGAAAAATTTGGTCGGTTCGGTTCAGCGGTTCGAACGGTTTTTGCACTTTTGCATTGGTTCGTCAAAGCGGGTTTTTTGGTCTTTGAACCGGGGTTTCGGTTCTGTTCAACGGTTCGAAAAACAAAAAAAAATAACGCGCAAGTTTAAATGTCAAGTGTCAAGGGCAACAGCGCGCAAGGTTAAGGGTCAAGTCTGTCTGTCAAATGAGATGAGATGAGATGATATTGTCACATGGTAAACAAACATGGTAGGTATTACCATGTTTAATAAAAAGAAAAAAAAAGTGAGTACATTTATCTATTGAAAATTTGTTGAAACGAACCTTTAAGCCTTTAAGTAAGTGGTTCGGTTTTCGGTTCGGATCAAACATTTGTGGAAAGTTTCGGTTCGGTTAAGGGTTCAGTTAATTAATAGAAAAAAGCGGTTTTCCGGTTCAAAACCGGTTCGTTTCAAAACCGGTTCACGTCCCTGGTTACATAAAAATTTTCAACCGCTCTATTTAGGCTTTGAATTTGCGTTCTGATCGTCTGAAAAGCAAGTGTTCATCAAGAAGTATCAGCACATACAAACTTTATTGACAAGGGTGTAAAAGGAAGCCTTTAATAGAAACAATTAGGACGGAGTACCCACCTACTTATGGAAAAATTTAAAAAACATAAAAAAATTTAAAAAATCGAAATGTTAAAAAGTAGCAAGTTGGATATCAAAATAAAAGTAAGTTTATAAAAAAACTACTACTGTTTAGTATTACACAAAATTGAAATTTAAATTAATTAAATTAAATTAGTTAAATGTGTAAAGTATTGAAATATATTCGGCTAATGAAAAATTATTTCAAATATTTTAACTAAACACATATACATAAAGACATATGTATATGTATGTGATATATTTTAAAATGGTGATGTCACCTATTCAAAAATTAAAGCTAGTTGAATGTTTCAAATATTTGGTTTGTACGTACATACCTAACTCGCTCAGAGCCCAACTCCAACGTTTCTTATGGCTCAGTTATGCATAAATACTGAGCGTTGCATGAGAGTTATCTGTTAAATGAGCTTTGCGTGTAAGCGGTTACCCTACGCATAGCACTTCACAGGTAAAAGTCTGTTGGGTTTTGATTTTTATTAAAAATGGTATAGCAGTGCAAAGTATATTAGAATTGATAGCAGTTATATGGACATTTCTTAAGTAGAATTGATAACAGTTCTATTGAAATAGCCTTCATTATCAAGAACATAGCACTTCAGATTGTTGAAGCGTTGTACATTCTTCTTGATAGACTTTTGTTTACGTTTTAGTAAAACGAAGCGGATAAGAATTACAATTCCGCATATACAAGATCAGAGGATCGTACGATCCTACCTACATACATATGTACATATGTGTACATATGTCCATAAATAATCATAGCTTCTCGCATAAATACTTACTATGCAGAAGTTATCGCCCATCATAAATACATCGCGCTACTGATTATTAAGTTAAGATAACCGTCGCATTTACTATCCGAAGAGCTGAAATGCTGCAAAGTGGAATTTAACTAGCCAGTTCAGTTGCAAGTTTAATCGAGCATACTCGTACAAATCCACCGGTGAAGCCTAAATTTTTATTTTTTTACAACTACTTGGCTGGAACGCTATATTGATTCATATATGTATATATATGCATATTTATAGATATATACATATATATATATATATACGGTATATGTCTATGTATATAGGCAAATTAGATAAGATTGCAACAATTTCTGCAGAATCACGCAATATAAATCGAAAAGCGGCTCTTCTTTCATCGCACTGACTTGAACCTCAGCTAAAAAGGATCAAATTTAAAAATGGTGTCTCCAATTGTGTCGGATGAGGACGAAAAACACATGATGCAGACACGTGGCAGCATTGAAATGTCTTTTGAACCGGTTACTTTCGATGAGGAAGGAAATATAGCAGCACCTGTTTATTTACCGACCACCACATCCGAAAAAGGACTCCCAGATGGATGCTCACCCGAAGAACCGCTTTCCCCGCAATCAAAACGTTCTCGACGCAGACGGATAATGTCCTTGGAATTGCCAGTCTTTTTGCTGCTCCTTGGAATAATGTTAACCGGTCCGGTGATGCTGAATCAGGAGCTCTATCAAACCTGCGTTGCTGTCTATCATTACAATGAGAGTGACTGTGAACCTCTACGGGGCATTATTCCCAAAACGGAAGAGGCGAAGGTGAGTTTTTTTTTTGTTTTGTGTTTGATTTTAGATTATTCGATGACGGCAGTAAATTTTTTGTGAAAATCATAAATATGTATTGTACGATTGCGATAGTGCTATTTTTTTTTTAACTTTTTTTGTTGTTATTTGCTTACCTGGCCGAAGAACAATGGACAGTTTTATAACTAAAACGCGCATTAAGGTCTTGAAAGTATTTCATAAAGTAAAAGTGTGTAAATGAGATGAAATTGGATGAAATCACGGGTTCGATGATGGAAATGATTAGGGTAACGATTACAGTAAAAGTTAGTTATAGATATTTATAAAAATTACATACAAGTTTTTTAAACTGATGCACATCAAAACGGTGTGTTCGACCCAGATCAACTTTCTACACGGGCTAGTCAAAGGCAGATCACTAATAAATACAAAGTAACGTTACCTCTCGAGTACCAACAAGACACTTTCGACCTCTGTTTTTGAAGCCATGCAAAGCAAATCTTGAATTAAACGAACCATTCTGTTGTATTTGACAAGATTTTATTTCTGATTTAAGCACAATCTAGACACTTAACAAACTCCTGCTTTCGACTACTCGGCAGCAAAATACAAAGAGGAGGAGGGTAAAAATAATTAAGCCTATCTGCAATCATATTTACATCTTCACTCTGTGTCAGGAGTATTTTAATTACATCTAAAAATCGTAGCAGATCAACTAAGGGCCAAATTAACAGTGCGTAGTTAACTGCCGATTTTGAATAGGGTGTGCGATATGAATTTAGCTGGTCGCGATAATGATGAATCAGTATAGCCTCACAAAGTTCTGAAATACTTTCAAGTGAAGACAAACTCTTCGAGACTGCAAACCAAACTGGATGCTCTGGAACCCCCTCCGCGATTTTGGGCGGGTTGAATAATGCATGCCAGCAGTTTCTTTTCTGTGCCAACTGAAGCCAATTGGTGATGCCAAGTGAAACCAAGTCCTTTGGCCTTTTCCCCGCAGAGAAGGTCTTCCTCTGCAATCACCAGCGGGTACCATGCTGAATACTTTCAGGTGTGGGGCGTTTGTATCAATCCCTACGACATGACCGCATTACAATAATTATGCGCTCTTCAAAAGATTGTACCAGACCGATTCAGCATCAAATTAAGTAAGTCGGTAGTCGCACTTAAGATTCGATTCGACAGATCCTTCCTGATTCGGCTGAGGCTGGTAGTGCTGCTCAACGTCATTTTACACATCCGCATTAGGCGGGAGCCGCTGTAGCTAAGTGGTTAAGGGTGCGTACTACCACTCGGTTGTTCCTGGGCCAACCGACTTCCAAATTAGGAAAAGTTTTTCTAACAGCGGTCGCGCATCGGCAGGCAATGGCAGTCCTTCCCTTTTGTCGTTCGAAGGTGGCGTAAAGTTATAGATCCCTCCCATAGAAGCCACTTCGCGGAAAATTCCACGATTTTGTTAGGGCTGCAAGTGGAAGCGGCAGCTGCCAGGTTGCCCTTCCTTCTTTTATTAAATCATAATTCCGCCCACTCCGGCCGACTGCCTTATCAAATCGTGGAATTTCCGGGGTGTTGCCTTGTCTGATCCCTCTAGTTGTGTTATAACATCAGGACGCACACGACAAATTGGAGAAGGAGCTCGGCTAAATAGCAAAGGTGTAAGCGCCAAAATATTATTAAAGCCAACGTCTAACCATTTGCAGAGCAAATCATCTTGCTTAGCTTGCCTTTATGGTCGTAAATAGGCGTCTAATGGACAAAAATGCAACTCTAAAACTAAAATTGAATGCCTCCACTCATTTTTAGATAATCGAAAATCATCTACAACCTTATGTGGCCAAAATTACCATGACTAATTCAATCTTGCACAATGTGTGGCCGGGAATACTTGTACTCTTCGTGGGACCATGGTCAGATAAATTTGGACGGCGACCAGTGTTGTTGATGGCTTTTACAGGTACTTATAAATACATACATACATACATACAACCATCCAAAAATAACTTTGAAATTTACTTATAAATCAGCACTTTTTCTATCCTAGCCTCCTTTATCGGTCACGTAATAACTACAATTTTGGTTAGCATTTCCAAACTGGTGTCACTTAATCCGTGGCTTTACTTAATAGGCAGCATTCCATCCACGCTGGCTGGTGGTGGTAGCACAGTGATGACTATTGTCATCTGTTATGTGTCTGATGTAGCCGATATGGAAAATAAAGCAAAGCGGTACGAAATTGAGGCTATACATCTACATACTTAGATAGTTTATATCATTTTAATGGTTTTCAGGATGTTCTACGTTGATTTGGCTATGGGTACTGGTTTGGTATTTGGTAATGTATTGAGCAGTTACTTGCTGCGTCTGACTGGTGTCACAATGGTGTGCGTCACATCTGCTCTTCTCATCTTAATCGGCTTGCTGTATGTTTTCTTTTTTATTGGTGAAAGTTTAGATGTTGAGAAAACAAGCTTTTCGGTAAGTAAAAATCATTTTTTATTGCTAAATTAAAATTGAAATAACTGTTTTTTTTTTTTTTTTATAAGCATAAAGCCAAGCGCTTCTTCGATATCCTACTTATCAAGGACCTTGTGAAAACTTGTGTGGCGCGTCGTCCAAATTATGGACGTGCCATCATTGGTTGTACGATTTCTATTTTAATGGTGTCGAGCTTCGTTCATCGTGAGTATGAAAAGTAGTTAAATAATAAGGCGGATTCACAAGACACATTAAGCGTCGTAATGTCTTTAAATCGTAAAATTTTTCAAAGTAAAATAACGATTAAAATGGTTTCAGGTATTTCATAATTATATATTTTCTATTAGTTCAGAAATATTTTATTGCTGTTGAAAATCCCCGAAGAACCTTTTAACTGTTATTTTTCATTGAAACATTTTATGACTTTAAAACTTTACGATTTAATACGACTTGTGAATACCCTAATTGTGTGTGTGTAGTTGTTGTACAAGTATGTAGTTATAATTTGCCATGCTTACCTTGTTCTATATAAAACTTACTTACAGACGGCGAACATGGTGTATTCTACTTATTCTTACGCAACAAATTTAATGTAACATTGCAACAGTACACTTACTTCAATGCTACGCAAATAACAATTAAAATGGTAGGCTGCAGTATTGCAGTTACGGTGTTAAGAAAGGTAAATTATTCCAGCTCTGTTCATAAATCTGCAATAATACCTATATACGTATGTATACGGAATTTCAGATTTTCAAAATACCCTTTGGCATCATCGCTTTGATGGGTCTAGCTGGACATATGCTGGAATGTCTAACCCGTGCGTTAGCACAGAGCTTTTGGCAGATGTATGTGGCATCGTCCTTTGGAATTTTATCAGGCATTACAACTCCAATGTTGCAAGCAATTATATCTTTAGCGGTGCCATCAAATGAAATTGGTAAATATTTCAGTGCATAGTGATCGTAAAATCGAAAATTATGCTTTTTGTCATTTTCTAGGCAAAGTCTATTCCTTGGCGGCATGTTTGCAAACACTCTCGCCCTTAATTGCAGCACCTTTATATACTTTCGTATATAGCCACACTCTTCAAACGTTTCCAAGTTTCTTTAATTTTATTAGCTCTGGACTCTATGGGGAGTGCTTTGTTGTAATGATGTAAGTTTTCGAAAGATATTTTCAAATCTTAATGTCTTCGACAACGTCCAATGCTTGCCTGAAGGCTTGTTTTCACTATCGCAAGTTCAATGGTATGGGTCGTCGGTTAAGTGAAAACCCCCTATTATAAATGTGCGCAAAAAAGAGCATCCATTGGTTAATGCGAAATTATTAGAGCCTCAGCAAAACCCCAGCGAAAAAAAAAATAATAAATTTGACACCAAATATGGCGGCAATTATGTCGTCCAAGTACAATAAAATGGAAACAAGCTTTAAGGCATGCAGAAATTTTGTATACCAAATTATTATTCTAACGATGATACTACTTATATGTACATTAAGTTGGTCCCAAAATACAAAAGAAAATTGCATTTTTTTATAAATTTCCAGCGGCCACCTCCCAAACTTATAGAACATGGAAAGAAGAAGCCCATAATTTTTTATTTGAAATCGGCCGAGAGAGCCTTGAAGTTTCTCATGTATTTTATAAAAGGAAAGTGCAATTTTTTCTAAGATATCTATAAAATCGTTATAAAAAAAACAGTCTAGAAATCTTCAAAAAAATAAAGTTATAATGCAAAATTTTTTCATGACCAATAATATTATCTCTAAGTAAAATGTGTTGTGGAACGATTTTCCGCCATCCTTTGTCAAATTTGTTTTGGAGACAAACCGGTTACGGCGTTGTGTCGCCTTCAGTGCCTTTTTTCGTTCTTTTCTTATTCTTTTTCGATAAAAACAATACATATTTGGTTTTAGCGATTTTATAGCATATAAAATACATAGAAAACTTCCACGCTCTGGCGACACCTTTAAATGTTAAGCAATTTCAAAATAAAATAAAAAATAAGGATCTCCCTATTTTCGATAGTTCACAGTTTTGAGGCGTGGCTGGAAAAAAATGGACCACGCTAATATATGTAGATATATCTCTATACTTACATATAACTAGGCCTGGGCGACGTTACTGCGCAATACCCTCGGGGTAGCGTTGCGTGTTCGTATACACGAAGTTGAAGGCAAAAATGCAGTGTAATTTAGTGTATCGAATTTTAGCCGATTCTTTATGAATCAGCAATTAATTTTTACTTTCAACTTCGTGTATACGAAAACGCGATGTTACTGCGACGGTACTGCTTAGTCGGCGTCGCCCAGGCCTGCTCATATGTAATGCGTCTGATCTCGAAAAGGCGAATGACAATTTGACTAACACTTTTTTACACAATTTTCTTCTTCTTCTACATCAGCGTGATATCCATTTTCGAACGACGAGTTGCTAACCGACCAAGCCAAGCCGAAGAGGAAAAAGGACAAAAAACGAAAAAATCCCTATCGGAAGAGCCCAAACTGGAGAAACTTTTAGAAAATAATGTTTAAATTAGATTCGAGTATTCGAGTGTTTTTGTGTGTTGCGTGTGTACTCGAAATAAATTTATATTTAAGATACTGAGGAGTTAAAAAGATAATTAAATGCACAAACAGGGGCAGGAAATACATAGTAGGTACTGGTTACTTTACAAATATATGTAAATGCAAATATGTACATATACATATTAATATGTAAACATACTGTTAAGATCCTAAATTAAGTGAGCTTTTTATATTACGGACCAAAAAAGGGGTGTCATGTAACGGACGAAACTCACACATATCTACTTTTAATGGCAACAAATAAATAATTTAATATCTTTTAAGCTCATTAAGTACTGACAAACACGACGAATGTATATGAAAAAGTTTAGCATAATGAAGTTAAGATTTAATAGATTAGATATATTTAATTGATTTGATGTTTTTTGCGTTGCATAAACAATTTTTTTTAGTTTAATAAAAAAAATTTAACACTAGAGGTACATAAATTAACCAATTCATTTTAACCTGATTTTAACCTTTCTAATAAAATTTATACCATATTCCGACAACGAAACACTTTGAAAACGAGTTTTCTGGATTGTGGCCTGAAGGCTGTTCGCTCCGGCTGATACCCAAAGTCTATTCAACTTTCCGTTGCATGAGTCTGCCCAGGCCCGAAAGGAAGCCATCCGGATAGCGCTGCAACAACTACCTGGCGTGGTTAGCGACGCCCTAAATGTATTTTCGCCAATGCAAATATTTTATTAGAGATCCTAAATGTATATTAATATCAAATCATATGGCATCCCCCTATAACTACATAAATACACTCTCGATTTCTATTGTTTTAAAGATAGAATATGTGTAGGTTCCGGAAGTTTAATAACATTTACCTTCAACTTTACGCCATATTACGTGCTACAGCTCTTGTTCGGGAAAAACACAAGACATTCCGTCGCTTAAAACCCGCTGAATGGGAAATGCCTTTTGATGTCCCCCTAACACCATCTGCAGAGTGAAGCCCCAATGGTCCTAGGTAAGGAGCACATTTTAATACTAAGCAAGCCAGTTCTCGTCGGCTCTACCGCAATGAGCAACCGAACGGACACTTGCTGGGGGCACACCCTCCTCCCAGGCACGTCAGCAGGCATTCCTACATACTCACGGACCAGATCCAGACATACATACATACGTAAGCCAATCAGTGGACGCGAAGATGTACCGACTAACGATAAACGACGTTTCAACTACCACAGGATGTACTCGAAACTCTAAGACTGAACTCATGTTTATTAAAAAAGCGGCTTTGCTAGGTTTCATAGTTTGTATGGACTTGGGATATTACAGAATTGTGGTTTTAGGTATTTATACTTACATACTTATGTACAATGTACATTGTACATACATATATGTAGTTAGATCCCTCAAGAACGACGTCGTGAGAACTGTTACGGCCGGTTAATTAATGTTTAGTTAACACTAACTGTAGTTTAAACATCGTTATCGACCCCATAGCAAATAAGCAAATAGGGAGTCGATAACATCGGTAACTGTGTTTAACCTGTGATTAGTAATATCCAAACATTGAGTAACCGGGCCTTAGTTTAATACGTTGATGTAAAAATCATGGAATTAGGGCCGGTTTTTCAATGTCTGGTTAACACAAATCGTAGGTAGAAGCTCCGATTGAACACAATGACGACATTATCGACCACATGTTTTATAAATGATGTCGAAAACGTCGATAATGATGTTTAACTGGGAGGTAGTGATAGCCAGACATTGATAAACAGGGCCTAAGTATTTTGCACATCCGGTAGATAATTGAATCTTAAAAAAAACACACACATCAAAAATATTCGAATATCTCACGCAAAGTCATGCAAGCTAAATAGTTAGAAATCAAATTCAGATTGGAGAGTATGACGCTTGAACCACCAAATATAAACTTGTAAACACTTACTAAAATGCGTGCATACATATGCATATAGGTCCCTGCCCACCTTTACTTTAAGACTGGTTTTCACTATGTCAGAATTTTACAACAAATTTTGTCAACATATTTTTGACACCACTTCATCTCCTTTTCCCATACCTTTATATATTATGGGCCAAAAACAGACAGATAGCCAGTCAATCGATAAACCGGTTTTAAGTTTCATTAGACAATGTGTTTTCACTTATTTGATGACAAATGGCACTGAATTTGACATAGTGAAAACCAGGCATTATACACTTTGACATATTATTGCTTCAGGATTGTATAAACTAAAAGAGTGTAGTGTATGAACTAAAGGTGGGCAGGGTAGTATAGTATATATGTACATATGTAGTACAAACACCTGTTATCGGGCATAATTATCTGGGTCTAATTATCCAATGAGAGAGTTTAATGGCTGTAAAGAGTCACTTCACTAGTCAGTTTGTTTTTAAATATATTCGTTATTAGAAGTCCACCGATAGATAGTGCGCAAAATTCCAAACAAAGCAAGTGAGCGAATTTAGCGAACACTCGACAATTTTAATCTTCTATCAAAATTACGCATAAATGTTTATAAAACTCGCTATAAAAACATAGCTACATACCTACATACATATATGTATACATATGGGCAGATACAGCGGTAAACAAATTAAATCATTAACTACCACAATTTAACGGCAGCAAACGGTCAGGAAAAAAAAATTAAATACTACTTACATACACATATTTCATGTTAGTTTGGCTTTGTTTGAAAATCAACAAACCACCTTTAACCCCGATAAGTAAGAATTCTTCAAAATGGTGGAGCAAGATGAAAAACGCATACTGGAGACTCCATCAATTGCCAGCACTGACACATCCTTCGATCCTGAGGTGCCCATCTCAACCGCTACATACGCTACGACGTCGACTACAAACGATGGAACGCCACTCCCAGCCGATGCATCCTCGCCGGAAGAACCACTTGCGCCGCAGCCGAGGCGTCCTTTGCGCAGACGCATTATGTCCTTAGAATTTCCAGTTTTTTTACTTTTTCTTGCTGTAATGATATCCGGTCCTGTGATGCTGAACCAGGAGCTCTATCAAACCTGTGTTGCCGTCTACCATTACAATGAGAGTGCCTGTGAGCCTTTGCGTGG